ACATATAAAGCTGCAAATCTCCTGAGAAAATTGTCAATAGCTTAGCAAAATATAATGCATGGATTTTGAAGTGAAGCACATGCACCAGACCAACAGCTACTGTAAAAGATATCCTTGCACTTGTAAGTCTAAGTTGTTTTTTCTGCATTGATTTGGAACCAAGATTGTAAGGTGGATCTTAGGGGAGAGTCACAACTATCTGCTTAGGATGGGAAAGGGGATTCTTCACTAGAAATCCAGAACAACATAACATAAAAACTCAGAAGGAAGTAATTATTAAAAGAGATAAGAGAAATTGGAAAGTTAGAAATGGATAGAAAGCAAGAAAAAAGAAATGACCATTGCAAGGAGAAATGTTATGCTACCTCTTGCTCAATCCTCGAGGGATAGGTCCAGGCCACCTTTTAGCTTGGTTAGCCAAAGGAAATGTCGTAGCAAGAGCAGCTTGCCACAAGAATTCTCCACGAAACAGATTGGCCCACTGTTTTTTGACACAGGATATTTGTGCCCACTCTGAGACCAAGTGCTATTAAAGCAAACTACCAATCATTCTAAAACAAACCCAATCAAGCTCCAAAAATTATATTAGCCAACACACTCCATCTATAGGGTGCACGTATTATTATTTTTTGGAAGTTCAATGCCTTCATTGAATATTCCATAGCAATTACAAGAACCAATCCATCATCCAAAAGGGGATAGTTGAAAATAAAAACTTAGCCATTTGTAGAATAACTCTAACCAATCAATAAATCATAGTCAGATAATTTCTGAAGTGGTCATCAGAGAATCCAAGAAATTTCAAAAAATAACAAGATTAAGTTATTCTAGCTTAGAGAAACAAGACAATCCAAGGAGATGATAGAAATAAAAGGAAATCCTTCATTCTTGCTCTAGAGACAAAAAGCCGTTGACCAACAACTCCTCCAGAAATTAACACCAAAAGACAAAGTAAGCCATACTTGTTTCATCAAAATCAATCCAGTTCTGATAAATTTACTCAAAGACCAAATAATATACAAAATAGAAGAGATGAAAAGGAAAGAAATGGATGGAATATCACTTAATTAACCCACCAATTACCAAACACATGTTACTCTTGCAATTACATAAAATGCAAAGCTGAAACAATTCAGAATTCCGTAAGGCACATAAACTTGCCAGCCCACAAAAGCCTTGTTGAATTAACATAATTCTATTAAGTTTTCAGTTCAAAGTTCAAACCCAAAATACATTCCCATAAAAAATGAAAAAGGGTAAAGGAAAGATGAACGCTTTGTGAAAAATCAGGATAGATAGCTACTTAATCTGCTAAAAATAAATATACAGAGTAGAAAAGTTCAAAATTCTATTAAGCGCATGGAAGGAACTTGGCCACAGCCACAAAAACAGAGTAAAAGCTCAGCGGAGATTTCATGGTGCAAATATGAACTGAAAGAGATAAACAACAATTCAATAACATCACTGGGCAAACAAAGTTTACACAAATAAAATTTCAGAGAGAGAGAGAGAGAGAGAGAGAGAGAGAGAGAGAGAGAGAATGATAATGAAAATTAACCTGAGAGGAAGAGTGAGTTTTTCAGCTCAAAGCTTTGCCTTTGTTGGCCGAATTTTCAGCTGAATGTTGCAATAGAAGAAAAGAGTCCGGCTTTGCTCCGCTAGGTGGCTATTTCAGGTGAGTGACGTGAGATCTTTTGTTTAGCTTCCTAAAAATTGACTCTTTTTTAATTATCTTTCTGGTATTTTTTTGGCCCTGCAGAGTTGCTGCTGTTCGTAAGCTTGTTAATTACAGAAAGAATAAAATTATGAAGAAAACTCTTTTTTGTGGTTTGCAATGCTTTGGATGAATTGGCATATTATATGCCTTGTAGGATACACGTATGTTCGTGGTTGGCTTTTACTACCAACCATATGTTGGATGCTCCGAGCGGATGTGAAATGGGTCATGCTAGGGAGATTAACTTGGGATACCAACTCTCTAATAAAGGTGGAGCCCACCAATACAATGGGTCTCATACTCTATTAGAGAGTTGGTACACAAGTTGGTATCCCAAGTTGGTCTCCCTAGCATTTTCCATGTGAAATATGATGTGACTATATAAGACCCATATAAGAATAATGAAGGGTCCAAATGGTAATTGTCGTGGAAAATAACTTTTATAGATGAAAAGGGAGTCCGACATAGAATAAGGTATACGACATGTTACTATTGTTGTGGAAAATAACTTACTTGCAACGGAGCATGTATTTCTTTATGTTTATCTTCCTTTTTCAGTGATGTAAAGAAAAACCGGTTATGGGCCATCCTCTATGGATTGCGGCTTGCTAACCAATCGAATTATTTTCCCCTTATTGTGGAGTCTGATTCCTGTTTGGCGGTGGACCTTGTGAATGGGCCTAGTTGTGACCCTCTTCACCCTTTGTTCACTCTTATCTCTAGTTGTAAAGCTAGCATGACTAGTGGTGTTTGTCGTATTTATCATGTCTTCAGAGAAAGCAATTCTGTTGCTGATATGCTTGCTTCTATTGGGGTCACCAAGCCTTTGGGTCTCCATACTTGGGTTATTGCTCCTGTTGCTGTCAATCAGTTAATTTTCAAGGATATGTGTAGGGTGTGCTTACCCAGACTTATTGTTCCTTAGTGTTTTGTTGGGCCTTGCCCTCCTCTTTACCAAAAAAAAAAAAGAAAAAAAAAAGAAAAAAAAAAGAAAAAAAGAAAAACCGGTTACGAGAGAAGAGAGACGCACACAGAAAAAGTATATTTCCGGTTACATGGTGAAACAAAAAGATATATAGAGGTTGAAATCAATAAAATATTTAAATATTAACTAAAAGAATAATAATTAAAAAAACTAAGATATTACTTAATTACATACTAACCTCTCTTCACGCGTTTTCGCGCCTGCGAGAGGTTTTTATTTTATTTTTAAATTTAAATTTTATTTTAGAATTAAAAAAGATAATGGGTAGTTGTTTTCCATAAAAATAGGATCCATTATCCGATTTTTCTTTTAATTTTAATTTTTTTAAATAAGAAAAAGTGTGAATTTACCATATTATCCTCATTTAATTAATAGTTTCAATTCTTAATGTTTGTATTAACCAATGGCATTTTTTGGTATTTTGAATATTTCACCATTCTCTGCCTTTTACTTTATATATATAGATATTAAATTAAAGAAGTTGGCCAAAAAAACAAAAGTAAATAAACTAATTTCATATTATATATATATATAATTTTTTTTTATATTTTTAAAATACCTCTCCCGACGACATTTCGTTGGCACATGTGTATGGTGGCAAATATTTGCCGGTTTAGACTTATCCCGACGAAATTTATCTATGCCGGTGCAATCTCATTGGTATAGGTCTAATATTCAAAATTTCGCTATGATAGACATATGCCAACGAAATTTCGTCAGGAGAGGTTTAAAAATAAATAAATATAAACTTAATATTTTTAGGTAAATAAATTTTTGTATTTATTTTCTTTTTAGTAATTAAATAATATCTTAGCCTTATTAAATTACTTTCATTATTATTATTTACTTAGTGAATAATGATTATTAAATATTTTCATTAAGTAAATAATTATTAAAACATAACTATTAATTAAAGTAATTAAAAAAGAGAAATTCAGGTTATGTTATTCAAAGGGTATAGCCGCGCGGCTATACCTTTAAAATATTCTATTTGTAGAGTATAGCCGCGCGGCCGTACGCTTAAAATATTATACATATATATATACATACTATGTTGACATTATACGACCAAAATTACAAATTCTAGTTTAATCTGAAAGCCAAAGCTAAACTAAAATTATTAAAAGATTGTTCAATCTTAAAATCCAGTCACATTTCACGTTCAGTAATGACCATTTGAATGTATGCTAATACACACACACACTCATAAATCCACCTTCTCTCTAAACTCACCAGAAAACAGTTCAAATGAAAAGAAGAAGAAGAAAACCCAAAAGAATTACGAAAATCTTCTCATTCTTCTGCTGTATGCCTTCTTCAACAGAGCTTCACGTCCAGGAAATCTGTTTGAATTCTCAACCATCCAATCTTCACCATTCTCTTTGTTCCTCCCTAATCCAACCCCATTTCCAAAATCACCCCCACCCTTTTCCAAAATCCCCAACTTCTCCTCCCTCTCCTCCCTCACCCCACCTTCTTCCCTCTTCATTCTCAACCTCCCCCTCCTCTCTCTCCTCCTCTCTCCACCTTCCCCCAAAACCTCAACCTTCTTCTTCTTATCCCTCTCTCTCATCCTCTCCACCTCTCTCTCTCCTCCTCCATTTTCACTCAGTCTTGGAATTCTTCCACCTCTAGAAGTACCCAGAAGCTCAAAATTCACTTTGCTCCAACCAATCTTGTCATTATTATCCCAACCAAACCTCTCACTCATTTCCAGCAACTCAGAAACTCCTCCTGCGCCAAGAGCACTGCTCCTGTTACCATTCAAAACGTTCTCAGCCAACTCCCACTCGATCCGGTCCTTGTAAACGGCGTCGTCGAGCACTTGGTCTGCGAGCTTTGCCCAGTCCTCAAAGTCACGGGCTCGGAGGTTCTTGGAGACCCATCTGAGGTAGCTTGAAGGGAGAGTTCCTAGCATCTTGCCCTTGTGTTTTCCAAAGTCTATGACTCTGTCTCTTGCAGGTGGTGGTGTTGTTGAAGAGAAGAGAGATGGTGGTTTGGGGGTTTTGGGTTTGAAAGAGCAAGAGAGGTGGAGGTGTGGAGAGGTGTGAGAGAGGGTAGGGTTAGAAGGTGAAGTGTGGAGATGGAAGAGAGTGCTCAGGGTGGTCATGGTGGATGGAGTAGATAATGTTGAGGCAGAGAAAAAACAGAGTAGGTTACATTTACATGTGATTTGGAACACTGAAAGGATATAAAGGCAATTTACAAATGTAATAGTTCATTATGATTTTTTTTTTGAAATAATCTAATTCATTAATTAAGAAGAAAAAGAGGCTTCATATTTGAGGCATGTATGGTAATTTTATTTCTATCCATCTCTTGTTTTTCCCACTATTTTAAGGGAAAAATGATAACTTCATATTGAAAATCAGCCCATTTAAGTTAGCTTTTATTGGTAATTTTATTTCTTTCCATCTATGTGTGTTTGGCAAATTGTCACATTCAATTGAAGAGCTACTTAGTGACTGAATAACAAAGGTTCGAAATCTGTTGGAAATACTTTGTGGCCAGGGCAAGCCGAACCCCAAGCGGGGATTAATTCCACCATTCGGGTGTGGGAACACCTCGTGGTATTTATTAAAAACAAAATCAGCCCATTTAAGTTAACTTTTATTGGTGATTAAGTTGAAGATTAATTTTCATCTACATTTCAAACATGCTATTTTCGCTCCTATTATTTCAACGAGATCAAAGTTATTTAGGTCTTCTTATTTTACACATCAACCTCAACATCATGTCACTTATATTTAATTTTCCGTCAAAATTGTTCACGTTATTTGTCCGTGACTAACAAAAGTGTTAAGATGAGTTTATTCTTAAAATATTTGTCATTAGACTAAATTAGAATTGATGTCATTGATGTGGGACATGAGAATTACATTGGTTTAACAGAAAAATTAGGGATAAAAAAGATGCGTAAAATATAACAAAGCAAGTAGGAGAAAGAAAGAAACCATTTTTCCCTTTCGACCGAAGAAAGCATTTTCCCTTATCCAACAAAAGAGGTTGGCACTCTGCTGCTCTCTGATTTTCAATCCTGACATGTCAGCTTCTTGGCACACTCTCAGCAGCCTCACTGCTCATTCGTTAACCTCAAAACGCCGCCGTCTAATACCATCATCATTATCATCATCATCACCAGCCTCAGCCGCAGTATCTCAGTCGCTCACAGTCGCCCACTCCTCGCTCACCGGATTCCAAGTACTGTCCACGGAGCCTACGCAAATCGAAGCTATAAACTTGAAAGATGCCCGCAAGAATCAGAAGCAGAACGACGTCGTCCCAGAGAACCAAGAAGAAGAAGAAGAAGAAGAGCATGGAATTTCTAAAATCCCAGTGACCAGGCAGAAGTACATCCCTGTTTCCAAGGCTGAGCTGCTAGACGGCATCGTTTCGACTGTGTTCCAAGACAGAAATGGCGATGAAGATGATGCTCAGCAATACTTTCTTCTTCTCTCTTCGTAATCCCATTGAACCCATTTCAATGGCTGGAAGAAACAAAGACATATTTAATAACCAAAAGCTGTTTAATTTGCAGGTGCTTGGACTCTATTCTTCATGCTGAACACAAAAGCATATTGGAAGCAATGCGAGCTGATTATGTTGATTCCAACTCCATGGAACACAAGCAAACAGTTAATGAGGTTGATGAACAAGTTGTGAATAATGGGCAGGGCTCAGATTCTGCTAGGAGTGGCATTAATCGAGTTGAGAGTATGGAGGCAAATGGGGATGAAAAGGTTGAAGCTGACAAGCAAATGCCATTCGATTATGTTCTGGGGTTGAAAAAACTCTTGGGTTCTTCGGCTAAGAACGTCAAGAGGTATCACAAATTTTTCTTGAAGTTAATATTTTTCTTCATTTTTACTACCCAATTTGTAAACTACTGGGAAACTCATCAAGCACAAGCTGGAGGCTTTGAAAGGCTTCAATGGTAGGAATTATGCTTAGTGCTTCAGGTCTAGGATTTGTTATACTCACTCTAACATTGGATTTAAGAAGTAAAAATGTATGCTTGTAATTGTTACAGAGTATATTTGATTTGAATTGTATCAGAAGACATCTTTCTCTAATTTCATGTTATAAAATTAACTCTTATTACAGAAATAGGACAAATATGGTA